CACTCCACTCACTCACTCCACTCACTCACTCCACTCACTCACTCCACTCACTCACTCCACTCACTCACCCACTCCACTCACTCACTCCACTCACGCACTCAGTCACTCACTCAGTCACTCACTCAGTCACGCACTCAGTCACTCACTCAGTCACTCACTCACTCACTCACTCACTCACTTACTCACTCTCTCACTCACTTACTCAGCCACTCTTACTCACACTCATTCACACTTTCTCACTTGCCACATACTTACTTACTTGCTTACTTACGTTGCTCACTTGCTGAACTTAACGTAACGAAGCGTGACGTAACGTTACTTTACTCTACGTTACAGACATTTGCTTCACTTCACTTGCCTACTTTTTTTTTTTACTTACTTACTTTCTTACTTTCTTAGTTAGTTGGTTAGTTACTTACTTACTTACTTTCTTACTTGCTTACACATACGTACATACATACATACATTCATACATATCATACTTTCGTACATACATGCATGCATGCATGCATGCATACATACATACATTCACACACACACTTATGTTGATACAAAGTCAGCAAGGTTCAGTCAAGATCTGACGCTTTGACCATGAGGCTGGCGTAAAAGGAACTGGGCTCGCTGGAACAATGCTTTGGAGCGTTGGGTGCAGCACCGACGATGCTTTGACAAAAGGTGTCACCTGTAGGATCAGCTCTTTGAACTAGATCTGCGCAACTCCAGCTTTTGGTTTGCATGTTTTCAAACGTACAAACTCAAGATGTGGTCTTTATTCAGATTCAGATGTAATGGCCTAAGGAGATCACTATGAGCCCGTCAGCAAGGTCGCTTGAAAAACAAATTGGATAGTTCGGTTGGTTGTCGCCCGGGCGAGTCGTGGCAGTCGTAGCAACCCAAATATGGGCGTAGAGCATGGACACCAAATATGAGCGTAGAGCATGGAGGGATTTTAGGCAAATCATTGACTTCAACAAAGTTGTGCTGCTAGGACGTGGGACATGGACCTTCGAAAGAAACCATTCCTGTTGTTCTGAGGCACAGTCAGCTCCGAATATGGCATCAGGAAAATCGGCCAGCTGACGATATGGAAGGCTGGGATGGGAAGATCTAAACTGTGCATCCTTTGGTAGTGTGAGCGCGGACAACTTGAGTGTCAGAAACCCTGTGGGTTGCAAATTTGTGTCAAAAATCATTTTGTTTCTTGCCGCCGTCATGTTTCTCCTTGCTCAAGGCCCAGTTGGTTGCATGTAACACCGATCTCTACTTTGATGCGCATAGCAGCACTTTCCGGCCATGTGATCGCGAACCTAGATGAAGCCCTGTTGCGTCGAATCACATCAGGTGTTGGCTCAGGTGCTTCAGCTTTGAAAAGGTTTTTGGAACCGATGCTGGGAGTGTCTGCCTATCGGCTAAAGCTCTTTCTGGAGGATCAGGAAATCTCAAGCATCTCACCTGACAGCTTCCAAGTAGATTTACAGCTTGTTGTTCTACCGTACTGTCAGGATCGTGCAAGGGAACTGTTAGATGCTGCTGAGTCTGGACATCTTTTTGAAGCTCAACGTCTTCTAGAGCTTTCACAAGATCCAAATGCCAAGTGTGGGGACAGTCTGGCACCACTGCACTCAGCTTCTTGCATGGGCCATGCAGATATGGTGCGTCTGCTGGTCGAAGCTCGGGCTGATAAAAACCAAGCAGCGATTTATGGAACACCTTTACTCATAGCTGCAGAACGTGGGCGAATTGAAGTTGTGCGATATTTGGTTGAAGCTGGCGCTGCAAAAGATGAGCCAAAAGATGATGGCTCCACGCCGTTGCTTTGCGCTGCTGCTGGCGATCATCTTGAGGTTGTGAAGTTCTTGATTGAGGCTGGTGCAGACAAAGATCTGCAACGAGGAGATGGTGCCACTCCCTTGTTGTGCGCAGCTGCTATGGACCATTTGGAGGTCGTGCAATGCCTTGTGAATTCCGGTGCTGACCAAAACCTGCACAGGAACAATGGGTTTACACCATTGATGTTGGCGGTTTTCAAGAATCACGTAGAGGTAGCGAGCTTTCTTGTTGACAGCGGTGCTGATGTAAACAAGTCCGGGGAAGATGGCGACACACCGTTGCTGTTCGCAACTGTAGAAGGCCACATGGAACTGGTTCGACTCCTATTGGAGGCAGATGCTGATATTGACAAGGCATCTGACAATGGTTCGACACCTTTGTTTTGTGCAGCTGATGAGGGCCACTCTGAGTTGGTGCGCTTGTTTCTCGAGGCTGGGGCGGAGAAAGAGGAGGCACGCTGGGATGGTTCCACACCCTTGCTTTGTGCAGCCTTACAAGGCCACACACAGGTGGTCCAGCTTCTGCTGCTGGCAGGGGCTGATGCCAACAAGTGCCGAATGGATGGCTCAACCGCTCTCATGTGCGCAGCTGCCGAGGGCCACGATGAGATTGCTCAAGCATTGCTGCTGGCCGGGGCTGATCCAAAGTGGTCACGCAAAGATGGTAAGGTAGCCCAGCAGCTGGCAGAAGACCACGGCCATTTGGACATGGTTGCCCTATTGAATGATGTTTCGAAGCTGAAGCGAGCAAGATGTGCCAGGGTTGAACTGTTCCAAGCAGAGTAGACCTGGGAGGCCAAGGGCCGGCAAGACTTTTCTACGCCCAGGCACAAGTCATTTGGACGTCAGGAAAAGCGTGCGCAATTTCAAACAGTTGAGCCGCGGAATTTTAGGTCAGTGCCAATGCTTAAATTGCTACTTTGTGAGATTAGGCTTACAGCTGTACGATTTGGATGTTCTTTCTTATTCTGTACCAAACGGCCTACTGGTTCATGCACTGAAGAAACCGCCGCACTGCAGAGACCCAGTCTGCGCAGGCTCAGTTTCGCCTGGACCAGGTCAATGGCTGAGCCAAACAACGACTTGCCTTAGGCAAAAATGCCATGGGCTCCATCAGCTTTCATCAATTGGAATACTTTGCAAGCTGTGTGCCTAGCAAAAAGGGTTGCCCTTTCCGCGAAGCTGGTTCTTTCTTCCTTTGTGGCTGCTTTGTCAGTGCTTCTCAGTTTGTTCCAATGCTCGACAGGTTCCTTAGTCAGCCCCAAACATTCAGTCTTGGTTGCCCCTTAGTTTTTCCGTGCGAGAGGTTTTGTGATTATAGTCATTGGCACACATTTTGTCGCTGTCATTTATATAATAAGAGAAACTCCATGGGAACTGGCGACGTGTTTTATACTGTTTTATGGTTGAACACTCGCCGTGTTAAGAGCGCTCTCCATTCATGAGTCATTGCAGTTCCGTTGTGCAATGATTTGGTCATCGCCGCTGCGGCTTTCCCCATGCTTGGTGGCTACAGGCACGGGTGGATATGCATTCCGTCTCTTTCTTGATTTGATGCAATGTATGGAAATCGATCTGGATCTCACACATTGCCTCCAGTGAAACAAAGTGTGCCCAGGCTTCAGGTGTTGCTAAGAGAGTCAGTGACTTGGCCGGAAGAAGCACAAGCGTTGCAACGTCATAGAAACGATCGAATAGCTCTCAGGTATGCAATTAAAGCAGAAAGACACCAGTATTAGTATTTGCCAAACATGTCTGGTTGGATTTGTGGACCTCTGTGTTTTTGAAGCCAATCATTTTGTGGACCTATAGATCTAGACTGTCAAGGTTTTTGAACTTTCCGATAACTTTTCAGCCTATGTAAAGGGTTTGTTTCCGGAAAGACATCTAGTAACAGAGAGGTGAAGGATGATATTGCATGTTCAGTTTAGGGCAGCTCCTTCATCGCTGAAATAGGTTGATCTACACCAAAACTTCGCAGACCAAGCTTTTTGGTTCTGCTGTTGTAAGGCACTGCAAGAAGAGCTAAGGTGACCTCCCGGATCAAGATCAGCAGGCTGGGCGATGAATCATGAATAATCTGAGAAGACTTGTTTTGTCCCAAGACTCGCCTTGTTGTCTTCCGATTGCCACTTTCTTGCATCCAAATAGAAAGGAGAGGCGGAGCCATTTCTGCCCAACCAAACCGTGGCTGGAAATTTGAACTCCTTTTGTGTCTTGGTCTCTTCAACATAGGCAACTGGTATTTGTTTAGTTTTGATTGGTAGTGTCATGCTGAGGCGACTTTGCCTGCTAGTTTCAATTTTCAAAGGTTGAACAAAGCTGCATTCAGATTTTTGACTACAGTAAGTTGGCTCAACTTTGCCATTTATGAAACTGATCACTCATCTAATGGCACGAGGTCTTAGCCCAGCGAGGCACTGACCCTCTTTGAAAAGATCTGGCCCATGGCTAGTAGGTTGGAGGCCACTGCTATTAAAAGCTTGCCCTGTGCGGCTACACAGCCTTTCTGGCTCAAAACGCCTGAGCTTTCAGCAACCTTGGACACCATGAGCTTCTTTGCTGCGTTTTGTCATTGGATGGTCTTTTACTTTGTCTTTGAGCCTTTCTTGATTGGATGACGGCGGTTCATTCGAAGCAAAGTGTGTCGCGTGGATTTGAGCTGCAAAGTAAAGGACAACTTTATTTCCCAACGGAACTTCTTAGGCGATTTGGGGCTTTTTACCGTGGTGGGCGGTGCTGACAGAGGCCAGGGCTTCTCAGCATGGCAGGCATGATTATCTTGTTTTCTGTAAATCTAGGATATGTTTGGACTCTGTGACGAACCTGCGCCCTTTTGTGTCCTTGCCACTTGCCACTACTATCTACTAGTATATAGCACTCCTCTTTACTAAGTCTGCCGTACCTTACCTGTCCTCCTGACTGGCCTATCCTCCAAAAGTAACTATGTTTCGGGTTCAAGGTGGCATCATTGTCCGTTCAGACCGCGAGCTTGGTTCGGATGCCGTGGCTCGTCTCGCCACTGGTGCTGTGGTACGAGCCTCATGAGTCTTTAGAAATGAACTTCATCGACTTTTTTGCCTTGAGATGTTCGTGTTCTCTTGGCAGCTGGCAGAAATTCAATATGTGAGGTGAAGGGCTTGGAGTGCCATGAGGGCCGCATGCTCTATGAGCTTGTGCAGGGCAATGGCCCGACCAAGGCAATACTAACTGGTGTTGGTGTGGATGAGGTGCTTGTTGTTAAGTTAAGAATTTCGCTTTCCAACAGACCTTATTTCTTTTGTCCAGTGTTTCTACTTTGAACGTTTGCAGTTTTTCTTTACCATCAAGTCTGGATCAAACAGTAGATCCACAGAGAGAGATTCTTTCGCACTGCACTGCGCCCACCGTGTTTTGGGTGAACATTCGTGCATGAGAGGATAGACAGTGAACCCCTGCCAAGTCGAACCAGGGCGAGAAGTAATTGATAGCAATGGAATCTTATACAACCTCGAGTACTTGTTTTCAGTGCTAGGTTCCCCGCTTTGGCGCCATGGCAAGTCTCGATGCCTTCCTCGTTCGGGCATCCAGACTTCCACGTTTGGCTGCTAGGTCGTCCCAGGACCACCTTGCGCATGCGGCGCATGTGGCAGCTGCTGGGGAGCTGTTGCGGCAGGCAGTGGACCTGCTGGTGCAGCACCGGGAACGAGCCGCAGAGATAGCGATGGTAGCAAGTCGATTGGGTGCTCTTGCAGAAGCAGCACCCCTCGAAGAGTTTGCCAATGCTTTCGGGCAACTGGCACATGAAAGTCTGCCAGATGGAAATTTTTCTAAAGAACAAGCACGAGAGGCACTTGCAGCTTATGTGGCACTTGAAGGTCTTGGTGCACATGTGAATGGTCTTGGCTCAGCGCTACAAATTGCTTCTCGCATTGCTTCGCGAACGTCCACAGCTGTATCGCTACTGGAACCGCAGGAGATTTCGGCAGCCCTAGCCCGTCTTGCCGCCAGCAGGAGTTCAGCACAGCAGAGGAGCCAAGTGTCACAGGTAGCTTCTATTTCCAAACCACCAAACGGTGCATTTGAAGCAGCGGCTGCAGATGTGGCACTTGCACTTCAGAAAAGTCTTCTCGCAAAGGGAGAGGCATTAGGTGCGCTGAGTGCTCAAGATCTTTGCAACGCTGTGGTAGGCTTGGCTCGGTCACCGTTGCTCGTGCCTGATGCAGCCATCGCCCTGGCTTCTGTGGCGCGCAGCCGAGTCTCCGAGCTTTCCATTCCGTCTCTTCTGGACTTTTCGCGTGCGCTGGCAGAATTAGCTGTTGTGCAGGGACCCCAGAGAAACCAATTGGTGGAGTGCCTGCATGAAACCTTTCCATTGCTGGCAAGAGTGGCAAGCACTAGCCTGCAAGGCGATTTTGACAAAGTGGGACTTTGCTTGTCTGGGTTGTCTCGATTAGCAGCAAACCTGCCAGAAGAGTCCGCTGCTGCCTTTGCAAAGGAGATCATATCTCCTGCTGCAGACCAAATCTTGGATGTTGTTTGCCAGGATGAGGATATGCAGTTGTTGGAAGTGGGCGCTCCACTCCTGCAATTGGATAAGAATGCTTGGACAAAGTTGCTCCGATACTTGGCCCTGGAAGGCTTGCCAAAACTGCCAGCAACTCAGGAGTCGAACTCCCGATTCATTTCCATTTTGGAGTGGGTTGCGTCGAAGGATGAGCAGACTTTGATTGAATCATGTCCGCCATTGTTTGATTTTGCCTTTCAGGAATTAAGCCGTCGTAGGGAAAACCTCGACGCGGCAGCAGTAAGAAAAGCGACAAAGCTCCTTGCCAATGTCCACCTTGAGCGCCCGGATTTGTTGCCCTCCAGTGCCATGGCCATAGCAGTCCATGGAGCAAGAGCTGAGGCCCAGCCTGCGGAGCTTGCTGAAGTCGCCCTCTATTTGTCAGCCATGGCCAATCTTTACTTGCGTTTGTCAATGATGTCACCTGCCTCATCCAACAAGATAACAAACCAGGACGAGCAACAGCATGAACCTCAAGGCTTGGCCTTGCAGCAGATGGCACAAAGTTTTGTACTCTCATCACGGACAGCTCAAGACCTTTTGACATCGTCGAATGCTGCTAGCGATGCGGCCTTCTTGGCACTTTCGGCCTTTGCACAAGCAACATGTCGCACCAGCCCCAATGCAACAGTATCAGTGGCAACCCAAAGTGCGCAACTTATTGAAATTGCTGGTTTGGACTATTTGGAGGCACTTTGCAAAGTGCTACAGTTGAACCACGCAGAGAACACGCTTTCGATGCAACAGGCTCACATTTTTGTTACGTGCATTCGTGGATTTGGTACGAAAGGACCGCCACCGTCATCCATCCTTGCTGTGCTGGAAGAGGTGATTCAACTGATTCAACAAAGTTTGCTAGCTTCGGATCAGAAGGAGGTTCGCCTTTGTTTGGCTGTTTTGCAAGAGCTTCAATCAGACCCCGCTTGCCCACCTGCACTGAAGTCATTGCTGGGAGCGCGCATGCAAAGTTCTGCAGAACCAAGCAATGATGCTCGTGAGCGCTTGAGAGCTTCCATGGCATCGGAGAGTCCACCAACACCAAGCCCAGCTCCAGGTTTTTTGCGTCGAATGTTCGGCTTCTGAGGCTTAAGCAAGAAAGGAAGACCATCAATCTTCTTGTTTGCACATGCGTGCCTTCTCACACTTCCCCCGAATTACCAAGTTGGACTCAGGCCCAATTACTTGACACAGTGATACGAATGTGAGAATGTGTATGAGAAAGGGATTGAACAACCTCAAAAAGCGTTGAATGAGTCATTGTGAGAGCCACCTGAACACCACATTGACACCGTCGGGTTTCCTCCTTGTTGCCAGGGCTGGGTCACCATGAACCTTCGAGGCAAGGATCTCTTGGTGAAGGCCACCAATTATCCTTGTGAGGAGAACCTCAGCCATTGAAGCTCGCTTTTTGGCTTCAGAAGAGCAATATGCAATGTAGCACGTTGTTGAAATGAAATAGACTATATATATATAGACAAAAAGCGAGGAAGTGCATCTTTATTCAGCCGGAAATCTTGTGAGGAGTCCACTACTGAAGGAAGTGCAACAGAGAGTGACCGCGATAGCCCAAAGGCTCAAGTGGAGGCCGAAGTGGAGGCTCAAGTACAGGCCACGTTGTGCAAAAGCCACAGAAGGTAGACTTTTTTCATTGTTTCCACATTTTCTGTCGGTTTTGCTATTCAGGAATCTGATGAACAGAGTGAGAAGATCACAGCAGATGAGACTTGCACTAGATGCAAAGCTGTTTTTCCCCTGGTGGATTCACATTAACTTTGTCCATCTTGAGATGACTTCTATCTAATTTTGAGTTGTATGCTTTCAAGTTCAGCTCAGGAAGGGGAAGCGCTACGTCAATATGAATCCAAGTTCAACCAAGCTCGAGATGGTATTCATGCAGGATATAACCGAAAGTCTTTTCCTTGGGCTATGCCCCAAAAGGCCTGTGATTCTGCTTGAGTCATAGCTCTGATGACCTGGTCCACAGTCGCAGGTCGTGAAAGAAACATCAGAGGATGTCATCAAGGCTGCGGAGGCGACCATGCACGTGGACTATCGACACGAGAAACAACGCAGCTTTCGAGAAGACATGAGAAGCGTGTGTGTAATGCTGTCCTTTTTTCATGCCAAGTATAACCAATGAATTGACAAGAGAGAATTGATGCAGTGGGCCACGAATCGTCTTGTCATTCTATTCTTTATTGTACATGAGTAGCCTCCATGCTTCAAGAACCTGCGCAAACACAAGCCGTTACAGTAGGCGGTTTTCCAAAGCCGCAGTGCCAAGTCGGGCTTTGAGCAAGTGTGGAACGGAGAATGGTGGTCAAGCCCGGTGTTTGCTCACCAACATGCAACATGAACCAATTGTTTGCCGTGGCAGTGGCAGACCCCAAAAGCTTGCGCCCTCACTGGCCAAGATTGAATGTGTGGCCTCTGAACTTCCGCATTTAAAGCTTCAAAGCAGCATTACAACAAAATGCTGTTTATTCCCTTGCAACATCTGAGCCTGTCAACAGAACATTCGTTTCAAGTTAAAATCTCAGTCAAGAGCCGATGACCGATGTGCCAATTGTTTTGGAGATGGCAGGCTTTTGGGCATTGAAGGCTCTCCAGGCTCTTGAAGGCTTTCTTCTTCGCAGTCCGTTTGGGCTTTCTTCTTTTCTTCTTTGCAGTTTACGGACGTGCTGTGATAGCAAAGCCTTTCCGGAACAGTGGCAAAATTTTACAGTCGCTGCCATTAGGCTTGGTGCCAGGTGTCTGGTGGGGTATTCGTTAGTACATTGGTGGGTCAGGATTGGCGTAGATTATATAATTTGAACTCTGCTGCAAAGCCCCACCCAGTCCACCGACCATCCTGGAGTCCAGTTCCCTTCCATGCGCCCAACAGTACCCCGTCGTAACCCCGCCAGCCAGCCAGAACACCCCGCTAGGTGCCGGCCAGTCACCAGTCGAACACACAGAACGACGACCTCAAACAGGAACGAGCGATGCCCTCAATATGACTTCAGGAAGACGGTTTGGTTGGGCACCAGAAGCATCTTCCCTCAACACGATGGGCTGCGCAACTTGGTGACAACATATTCCTAGGATCCAACAGACACATGCTTCTCAAAGTCCAGAGCACACATACTTAATTGGGCCCAATGCTTCAAAGGCTCAGGATTTGAGGAGTCAAGGAAGCAATAAATCAAGTGGAACACTGGAACACGTTCAACAGCTTTTTCTTGTTCTGTGCAATTGTCCCCTTCCTCCTCACACGTGTTTTTTCATCATGATCTCAAGTTGCCAGTTGTGCTGTGTCCAGTGGCAGCAAGCGGAAGCATTTCATTTCATGCAAAGCATCGACTGTGACATTGCATCCTTGTCAAGATTGGCTTGAGATAGAGATTGGTAGGGCGGCACGCGATGTTGGCGAGTCTTCGCTGTCGACCACCAGGATGTGGGAGAACCTTGAGAGAGGGCTCGATTGAAGAGTTGGACATTGAGAAAGATGATGGACCAGTCCAGCCGTCTCGGGTGTATCCAAGCGCCAAAGACAGGCCAGCTTCGCTTGCCTGTGGCATCGGACCAGTTTGTCGTTTCTCTGAACCATCCTTTGGGGAGGAGCTGCTCAACCCAGGAGACACAGTGCCATACCAGGCAAGCAATGCAGCTTCGCTTCAGCCAAAGATCGATCTTCCTCCAGATTCAACTCCATACGTTGTGCTGGAAGGTGAGGAGTCTCCTGGACATGAAGCAGAGAAGCTGGTCCAAGATTTGGCCACTGTGAAAGAGAGTGTGGGCCAATTGAACAAGTTGGTCAGCTTCCTTACAACCATAGCTTTGATTACAACGATTGGCCTCTTGTCTCTCATGTACCGCGACCTTAGCCCAGCAAATCAGATTCTTGCCAAAAGGTACACTCTGCTTGCCACAATTCCTATTGTGGCCTTGCTGTTTACCTGGTTCCACATTTGGTTGGCAATCCAAATGATGTTTTTGCCTCTAGAGTTTCAGGGAATCTGGCAATACAAGTCAACCGGCATGGGCATTGGTTGGCAAGGCCTGGTGCCTCGAAAGTGTGAGAAGATGGCAAGGATGTCTTACAAGTGCGCCCGTCCCTTTTTGGAGGGGCCTCGAGACTGGCTTAGTCGCGTGGATTCCAAGAAGCTTGTGAGCGAAGTGAGATCTGAGCTTCGTGTAGTGATTGATGGAGCGATGGGACATGTGCTGAAAAAGTATTATCCACGCACTGACAACCGGATGCCTTCATCCATGCGAACTCAGCTCACAGAACAAGCCTTGGACAAGATCCAAGAGACATCGCCTTTATTGTGGAAGCAATTCACAAATCATTTATGTGACGATACATATGGGATTGACAATGACGGAATGATTGTGAAGGTCTTCACAGAGAACAAGGAATTGTTAAACCAATTCTTTCTGACCTTGGGTGACCGAGAATTCCGTTTCATTGAACATTGTGGTGCGGCAATGGGTTTCTTCTGTGGGCTTTTGCAATTGCTGGCCTTCAACAACCTAAGCAGCACGGGTCGCGCTATATTCTTGCCCGTCACAGGCTTCTTGTTGGGCATCGTGACCAATTGGCTTGCAATCCTCATGGTTTTCAAGCCGTGCTTTCCCAAGCCAATCAAAGTGTGTGGTTGGCACATTTGTGATATCCAGGGACTCTTCTTGAAGCGGCAGCCTGAAGTTTGTGTGCTTTACTCGAAGATGCTGAAAGACAATTTTCTGTCTTTCAACAAGATCATTAGTTATTTGCAGACACTTCCAGAGCTTTGGGAGCGGCTGAAGATAGCTTACACTGAGCATAGTGCAAAAGTTCTACGACAGACTTTGGGCTCCTCTGCAACTTGGCTTGCAGAGTGGATGATTGGGCCAGAAGGCTATCGTGATCTTGAAGAAGATCTAAAGGTGGCCCTTGTGGAAGGCCTCTACAAAGCTCATCGATTGCATGCACTCTCCTCTCAATACATCTCAAGAGTGACAAACATAGAAGCCCGAAACAGAGAATGCCTGCAGCGAATGCCTCCAGACGAGTTTGAGAACTTGCTACATCCTGTTTTCCAGGAAGACGAGTGGATTCTCATCTTGCTTGGCGGAGTTTTGGGAGCAATCGTGGGCATAGCACAAGTCTACGTTCTCTCAGAGTGAATCTGTGCCCATGATAAGGACAAAGGAAAAGCTAGTGACATGAAGTGTGCGTCAAGCCAGCAATGGTCTTGGCATTTTCCTGAACAGTCAGTATATCCTGCCAAAGGCAGCTTTGGACTACAGCGACAGTGACATGCAGAAAATTACTGACATCATTGCAGTGCTCTGACATTTGCAGGTTTAGTTTAGCCAGTTAATACAGAGCAGATAGAGCAAATAAACTAAGGTTCATGGGCAAAGCAGCCAGCAGAGCGGTATATATATATATACACACATGTAGAGCAGAAACTTAATGTGAGTGAGAGAGTGTGGGGGGTGCGTCGCTCCAGAGGCCTTCAAGGAAAAGCGTCAAAGTCAAAGAAAAGCTCGATATTGGGATGTTGATTCTGATGGTGAGGAGGCACGGGCACTTACAATGCTCACCTTTCCTTAAACGTGCTATCTGATGATTACCGTGTTTTGACTACTGTATTGAGTGCCAGTTCCGAGGGGTTGACAATTTCGAGGTTGAACTTTGCCTGAGGAGTCCTGGCATCGCTACTAGGAGCAAGGACGCTACTAGGGGCTCCTGGCATCGCTACTAGGAACAAGAAGCTACTAGGGGCTCCTGGCCTTACTACTAGGAGCAAGGACTTCACTTTCAATTTGATGGCTCCGCAGGTGACACTTTGCCCACGCTGCTTTATGCCAATCGGAGAGTCGGCATATGAGGGCAAGCAGAAAAGCACCTTTGTTCATCCTGAGTGCATGGCACAGGTGCCGGAGTTGGAAGCAGCTTTTGTTTTGGATTTCTGGTGCCACTGGTGCTGCAGAACATATGTGATAGACCATGGATGCAATGCAATACGTGTCCAAGTTGCGTTGTTGTGTCCGGAAGCGTGTGCATAGTCCACCGCATTACAAAATGTCAGCACACCCGGATGCACTTTGGCAAGCATTCATTCATTCGTAGCGATCGCATGTTCAGATGCTAGCTGAGACACGGCCACACGTGTGCAACCCAACCTGTTCATACTTTGTTCACTGCACTCCCTCAGCATTGCCAAGAGGGCGCTGGCCCAACATCGGCACAGCCTCTCCCTACCCAATTATCACTCAATAAGAAACGACAAAATTCATGAGCGAAAGGGAGCAAGCAGGCTGGCAGAACGTTGGGACCAACATCAGAATTTCATTTCAACAGGCTGACCAACGTCGTGAGCTAGCGTGTTTCAACCAAGAAAAAAAACGCATGCAAACGAATCTTGCGTTGCAGGCAATACAATATTCATTGACTGTCCTGGTTTTGCAGGTCATGATCGAGGAAATGCAAGGGCAGGAGGCCGAATTTCTGAAAGAGCAGAAGGAAAAAAAGCTGAAGAACCGCTTCTTAGCTGCGTTAAGAGGTTGCTACGTTTGCTTTATGAGCATTTATCAAGTTTCCTTTCTTTACTTTTTAGGCCTCGCAGGAAGTCTCCTGGTACGCTTGTTGTATTTATAATTTCGTAGAAACGGATCTTGGAGCTTCTGAGTTGAGGCCAGGAGCATGACATTGGATGGAACCCCTCGACGGTTCCAAGCAGTTCCTCACTGGCGCAGCGATTTGGTCTCAAAGCTGCGGGCCTCACTTGCCTGGTGTGGGATGAGGCGCTCAGACTTGGACATTGCAAGTACATGACAAACAATGACATACATGTTCTTGCCACCGGTCGGAAACCGAACGTGTATATAGTGGTGCTCATTTTGACAATCACTTTAAACTTGACTCTTTCGACCTGGTGGCAATCGATAAGAAGACCGGAGGATTGTTATGAGGATGTGGATGTCATGTAGAGAGCACGATGATCAACCTCACAACATGTCGAGGGGAAAGAGAGCTCGAGTTTTTCGGCTGCTTTCCGATGTTATTTTTTGCATTTTCTCTGAACAACGACACACGAAACGAGACAATGAATTGCAACAAAACATGCTTGTTCTCCCACACAACAGTGTTTTTCCAGGAGCATAGTCAGGTTACGTGCGCTTCTCACATTGTGTGTCCTAAAACATGTGGGTCTTTACAGTTTTGTGTTAGTCAATTAATCATGTTGAAAAACGCACACAACTACACGTTCAGTTTTCGACCCGGCGGGATGTTTTTGTAATTGTAGTACAAAGCTTTGTCGTTGTGGCTGGGGTATGTTTTGAAACACATGAACAATTACGTCTTTTGAGCTGCTCACCATGGTCAGTTGTCGTCTGTATGGTGTGTTTGTGTGATGCTTGCAAACGAATGTGATCTTCGTGAGACTTGATTCTTTGCGATTAAGTCTTGAGCTGAGATAACATGGAGAAGGACCTCAACTGCACCAAAAAGGGCCTTTCAGACGCTACGCTCACCTGTGTCCACACTTGCTAGAACGTCACAATACTTCCTCTCCGCATATATATATATATATATCCTTCGATTTGGCTTGATGAGGAGCCCTGACTTCTTGATATGGTCACATGGAACAACTTGGAATCTCGATGGCCTTGCGGCCAGAGAAGACATTTGCCCTTCTCTCTGCATCTTATTTCTAGCTCAGCAATTCTTGGCCTGTATTTGCCTCTGTTGTGGGCGGGCCGTAATTGGTGGCCAACAATAAATCGTGTTTGGTAAGGACTTGGAGCTGCTGCATTAGCTCTCTCTCTCTCTATATATTTACATATACACATCTCTCTCTATATATATATGTATATATGTGCACCACTCGCATCACCAGACCCCTAAGAACATGCATGTTCACTACCTTTGTGACCCTGGTTCTTTTTCGCTCTCCGCAACCAGGCTTTGGCTCACCCTATCTAACTGGGCCGGATTTACAAACACCCCCCCGTACACACTTAGATGGATGCTCGCAAGAGCTGAATCAGTTGCTGAAGTCCCACTTTACACGCATTAGCCCTTGACTCGATGGAATCGAAAAATGCAGAACCGAAAGGTGAAAGGTCCACATACTTGAAGATGTTTGAACAGTTTTGTGCAACTCAGTAGTCGCGTACTGTAAAACAACGTATTGGAGAGCTTGTTCAACAGTTGAAAAAGAGTGAAAAAGCAGGTACACCAGGTTGATCAGACCTGGCTTCCACTATCACGCATAGCTTCGTTGGCACGCGTTTGCGTGATAGCCGCATGCCCCCTGCCTCTTTTTTCGCTAAATTGGTTTTACAGACTTGACAATGTGTGCAGCCTTGGAAACAGGCTGTGACACACACACACACCACGCCGTTATCGGCGCTCAAGCGATGTACTAGCCACCTGACAAGCCTTAGAAAGAAAGACAAAGAAAAACAAAAGCAGCAAACGAAGAGGGCAAGAGAGAAAGGTTGGTGTAGTGACGAGGCCCACTAGTTATGGGACCTTCTAGTTACTGCCCCTACGGTTCTAAACATTTGATAATGTGTGCAGCCTTAGAAACAGGCTGTGACACACACACACATCACGCCGATATCGGCGCTCAAGTGAGGTACTAGCCACCTAACAAGCCTTAGAAAGAAAGACAAAGAACAACAAAAAGAGCAAACGAAGAGGGCAAGAGAGAAAGATAGGTGTAGTGACCAGGCCCACTAGTTATGAAGCCTTCTAGTTGCATAAATTAAATGCAATAGTTAGCGAGCGGGACTTTAGTCTTAGACCGCCCGGGTAGCTAGGAGTAGGACAGGAGAAACAGAAGGAAAGGCACCAACACACAAGTGTGTTGAGTGCGATTTCCTTCTGTTACCGGGTGGGATAGCAACAGATTGGGTGCGAAGGCATTGTCGTCACCGGCGCTCAAGTAAAGCCGCAATCGGCGCTCCTTGACTGAAAGGCACCTAGAACCTAAAGAAAGGCCTCAAGAGAACGAAAAGCAACAGCAGGAAAGAAAAACCTAAAGAACCAGAAGAGATTACTTAGTCGTTCACGTTCCTCACTCTCCTCATGCTCGGCCGTAAACGGCGCTCCCTTGACTACAGCTTCACCTGAAACCTAAAAGCCTTGAGCAAAACTTCACCTGAAGCCTAAAAGCCTCGAGCAAAAACCCCTGGAAGTCGTCCGAGTCCGTTTCGTCTCATGGTTCGCACACGCGCATGAAAATCAGTGTGCCCTGCGGCATTCGATCTCAGTAAGCCCTGCGTCATTCGATCGGCAGTCTCGTGCGCAACGGAAAGTCAGTGGGAATCAGTGTGAGGGTCACAGAAAGGACAGGA